TCATTTATAGCTTAGCTTAACAACTTTTTATTCATGCAGCATGAATCGCCTATAGCTCACCCCAGTATCATATACCAAGATTTCCTACATCTGTCGTGTCTGAGAACCGAGGTGATCAAGCTCGTTCCCTCACAACCTGATGATTAGAAATTATGATATATGATTCACAGCTAAAATTGACATGTCTAATATGCACAACTGACGTCTAACAACCTCACCCCATAGGTTTACCTAGACCATGCTCTGATACCACTAAAATGTCACGACCCCTTTTATAAGGAACCGAGAACATTGTTTCTACATCACAAACTTATTTGAAATAAAGTATAGAAAATATAATGATGAAATTCTCTTCTCATTCAAAATAAAACAGAGTTTCTTACAACAAATATCCAACAGAACAACATAATATTACATTTGGTTCATAATATTCAAAAATACCCAAAATTATACTACGTAGCTCCCTCTACATGAGGTCTTAAAATATAAGGAAAAAGGACTTAGATGCAATATTACTCGACTTCAGCTTCTATCATTTCTCCACTGGCCCCGCAGCCTGTGAAGTAGATGCAACACCTGCTACATCTGCTCACGTACCACCGTACGATCATTGCAGTACACACGCACACAACGACGTAGAAAGAAATGCAAGGGTGAGCTTACCAAACTTAAAATAAAATTATATATATAGAGCAAAATATTTCTCACAGCAATAATCCCATCCATTTCCAGCCCATCTAATGCACAGCATGAAAACGGTTTCCAACTGGTTTCACAGCCTAAGTAATCCAGAAGGAAACCGAGCCGGTCCGGGAGTGACCCATTCCGGTATCTGGATCCAGACAGCACAGCACAGCAGCTCAGCATGAACTTACCGTTACACGTCTACCCACCTAAACATGTAACTCGGCTCTATAATGATGCAAAACATATATCTCAGCATGATGCACACCGCCAAAATTATTTTAATAGCTCAGCTAAGGCAAGTTTAAGATAGATCAGCCAAAATCTCAGCATTTTAAATCAATTAACAGCAGTTACAGCTTAGAAAATAGCTTTTATTCAATAGATCTAACAAAATCATATCAAAACATCTTAAAATAGCATATTAAACCGTTCAAAACGTAGTTCATAGGTTAAAGTAAACTCCCCTTACCTCAGAAAGATGATTCACACTAGATCTACCGAATATTACGTGTTTTAATGCAAGATTCACCGAAGATTCGGCTTTAGAACGGAGTTTCTCCTAAGAACACCATGAACTTCTATGAGAAAGAGAAGAAGAAGAGAAACGAACGGTAAATCTAGCTTCAAACTTAAAGAAACTTACTTCAAATCCTTCAGAATAGACGTAGGATCTCAGATCTGGCGAGAAATCTAAGTTTAGGAAGGTTTAGTATGAGAGAAATGGTAGTTTTTGGCCTTAGAACCTTTGAGAACCTTGGATAGGGGTGAAGAAATGAAAATTTTGTGTGAAGTCCCCTTTTTATAGAAAATTTTCAAAATTTACTGTTCACCGCCGGAATTCACTGTTCATCGCCGGAAACACTGTTCACCGCCTTACTGTTCATGCCGGAAACACTGTTCAGGGTACTATTCACGCCGGAAAATACTGTGCACGCGTACTGTACATGCACTGTACGCGTATGTGACGTCAGCCATGACGTCATGATGATGTCACTGATGACGTCAGCAATCACTGTACATACACGGTTTTCACTGTTCATATGCGGTTTGCATTGTTCATTGACGGTTTTACTGTTCATCTGACACTGTTCATACGGTACTGTTCACTTTTTTTTTTTTTTAAATAATTTCAAACTCCATCTAAATCTATTCCAATACCAAATAATCCTTCAATTAACATTGAACAAGTATAAAATATTATGGATTACTCAATAATAAATCTCTAGCCTGACAGTAGCGAGAGGGCGTGTCGCTGCAGCGAGAATATCTTGCTTTAGCGAGAGTGTCACGACCTAAAAAGGATTTAAAAGGGGTTAGGGTTACGTGAGAGTTATTTCTCCCTCTCCCTTCAAAATCCCTTTCATCCTCGCGTCTCCAAACCCTTTTTCATCGATTATATTTCCTCCAAAGCAGTTCGGAAGCTTAGTTGAAGGTTGGAGTTGTGTAGGGAACACTTGGAAGTGAGTTTTAAACGGTTAGGATTTTCGTTTTCCTTCCTTCTCTCTGTTTTTGGTGATTTTCGGGATTCTCATGGAATTCTTCCATGTGTTTAGGCCGAAAGTCATGTGGGGATCATTTTCTGTACTTAAGTTTGGATGTGGGTCTTCAATCCAAGGTAAGGGGGGACTCTACCCTACTCCTTTATGTGTGATTTGTTGATATTTTGTGTGATATTGTGATGTGGCTGAGTAGAGGGTAAGAAATTGCTGAGATATGTGAAGTGGGCACTTGTGCCATTTATACATGTGTGTATATCTAAATGAACATTGTGAAAATGTGGGCCTGAGGGCTGTGTAATATGAATGGAAATAGGCTAGGGGCCCGTGGCATGAATGAATTGTGGGCTATGTGCTGTGTGTGCTGTGGAAATGAAATGTGGGCCTAGTACCGTATAGTTGAACAAATATGGGCCTAGTGCCGTGTACTGTTAAATGTGGGCTATATGCCGTATATTAAAATGTGTGTGACTGAGGCGTAGTAGCTCCGCTGTAATGTGCTATGAATGGTTCAGCGATACACTGGGATGTAGGAGATGAGGACGGTAGAAATACCTTGGGGAAGAGGGAGTAATAGTGACACCGACTGCGAAAATTGTAACATCCTATATTTTGATTTAAATAAAATGAGGTTTGTTAAAGTATAATTGGAATAGATTTGGATAGAATTTTAAAAAAAAAAAAAAAAAGCGAACAGTAAAACCGCCTATGAACAGTGTCTATGAACAGTAAACCGCGTATGAACAGTGAAACCGCCTTTGTACAGTGACGATGACGTCATCAATGGCATCAGCATGACGTCATGGCTGACGTCACATCCGCGGACAGTACGCGTACAATCCGTGTATAGTACGTGTGCACAGTGTTTCCGGCGTGAACAGTTACCGCGAACAGTGTTTCCGGCATGAACAGTAAGGCGGTGAACAGTGTTTCCGGCATGAACAGTAAGGCGGTGAACAGTGTTTCCGGCGATGAACAGTAAATTCGGCGGTGAACAGTAACTTCGAAAATTTTCTATAAAAAGGGGGTTGCAGACGAAATTTTCATTTCTTCACTCCTATCCAAGGTTCTCAAAGGTTCTAAAGTCATATCTCGCCATTTTCTCCCATACTAAACCTCCTAAACTTAGATTTTTCTTCAGATCTGTGATTCTACGTTCGATCTAAAGGATTACAAGTAAGTTTTTCTAAGTTTGAAGTTAGATTTACCGTTCGTTTCTCTTTTTCTTCTTCTTATAGATGTTCATGATGTTCTTAGGAAAACCTCCGTTCTAGAGTTAAACCTTCGGTTAAATCCTTGTAAAAGCTCTGTTTTGAGGTAAGGGGGGCTCTACTTTATCATTTTGTTATGTTTATTACTTGTATTCTCATAGATCTTGTCATGTATGTAATTATATGTGAAATAATCCCTGTTTTATGAGAAATAATCAGTGAAAAGTGAAAATAATTAGTTGTTTATGTGATTTTATGATGAGTACATGATTTCTCATCATTCCTATTTAATAAATTTTCTAAATTTTGTCCTATTTGCATCTCCATCTTCTCCATGGATGCCTCTTGATTCTTGAAAGTTGATTGAGTAAATCCATGAATTGGAGCAAAGTTTCTTCAAGTTCATTCATTCTTTTTGGAGAAGCCTCTGAAGGTTGTTGTCCTCTTTGAAGTTGAGAATATGATGTTTGAAAATAAGGTTATGAATAATGAGGACTTGACAAAGGTGTTGTTGCAGCAGAAATTTGTTGATTCCAATCATAAT